GACTTATATGCGGGGCCATAAAAAATTAAAAGAATCGGAAGTTCAAAAATTTCTTTATATAATGCAGTTGTTTTCTTCCCGCACTCAAATTGGACGACTTATCAGATAAGTCACTTACTTGAAGTAATTTCATGACTTAAATTATGTAACGAACTAATCACAGAGTCCCTCTGAAATGATTATAAAATCATTTAAAAAATGTTGTATTAGCCACAAACTAGACGGCACGGAAGATGATGTTGTTTTTGAAAGTGAAAATGACGATGAAGGCTCTAGTAGTGATTGTAACAATACAGAGTTCGAGACTGAAAATATGTATGATGACGAGCCAATGACGACAGAAGAGTTCTATGAAATGTTTGGCGAATCTGACCATGAATCGGACGTTGAAGGATTTTGATTTTGTTTATTCACCAAGGTATTTTTTATCGTATATTTACATTTTTTTCTCAGATGATTTTGAATAAATGTAGTACTTAAAAAAAATTTTTTCAATGTTTCTCGATCGATTTCGGAAGTGGGGGGTCGACTTATATGCGGGTTTCTTATTTTCTACAAATTTTTTATGTCGAAGTGGGGGGGGGTCGACTTATATGCAGTATCGACTTATACGTGGGTATATATGGTAAGTGTTTATCATGGATGTTTTTTGGATTTTTAATTTTGCTAACTGGTTGTTGTTTTATGTAATTTTTAGTGTGCTACCCTTTCTGCAAATGGCCTGTTGTCTTTCATATCTTAGGTTAAGAAAAATTAATCTCCAACACTTGGCAACTTTCTGGGAAGGTTGGGTGATAATCAGAGAGTACCAGATTTTCTCCTATTAACGTAATAAAAATTACATGAAACTTTAATTAAATGTTTTTTTTAAATGCCCTAATATGTGCAAAAAAATTACTTTTGAATTTAACAAGAGTAATGCAGCTTATAAAAGCTTCTAATTCATAAAAGTGGTTCCCGCATGAAAAGAGTTTGAAAAATGCTGACCTAGATCTTGCCACATATCCACAGACCAAATTCACTTTTGCAAACAAACTCACAAACTCCTCCTCCACTCCATATTAAAACATTTTCATAGTTTCACTTCATGAATAAGCAATAAAATGAACTACTATGTAGTGATGCCAAAATAAATATTACAATTCAATTTTAAAAACCTATTAACAAATTAAACATGTTACAAAATAATTTTGTTAATAAAAGGCCAACTAGCTGAATTCCACCATTGTCTTAATTTTTATTTTATACTTTTTTATTACAACAGTCAAAGTTTACCAACCTCATATAGCTATACTATTGCTACTTTAGTAATTATTGCTAAAAAAATAAATGAAACATGGTGCAGAATAACTCATTTAAAATATGATTAGCATTTTAGGTAAATGTTTTATGAAGAATGCATGATCAAAGCCTTCCAGACTTTTAATTATATTTTTAATTACAGTGTTGCGCACTTGTGAATTTCATATACCAACCATCAGACACAACTGATTAAAACTTCACCACCTCAAGTTTAATACTGAAAACAATAAAGAAAGAATATGTAAAAAAAAAAAACACAAATGGCACATACCTTGAAAATATGATTTGACATATTTTATAACTGAATTATTATTCCTAAGCATTGAATATAATAACAGGCATTTCACGTTTGAATTGTACCTCTGATTGAGATCACATGTGATGGCATTAACATGATGCTATATTAATTAATTAACTATTAAACTTGGAGTTAATAGTGAACTGAAATTTATGAGAGTGTAATAATGAAATTGATTAATATGTTGTCCACATCACATGCCAAAAAACTGATGGATAAAGCAGAGAAAAGAAGGTTTCATATAATTTGGCTTTAAGTCTGTCTCATTTTAAGGATTATGTCAAATGCACACAGCAAAGCAAAGAATATCCTTTTTGGTAAAAGTATATTTTAGGGTAACCCTTGGCGAAACTTGGCGATTTTTAGTGGTACATGGATACTGAGTTTATGCAATTGTTTGACTTATTATTTTGGCTTGCATAATGGCAGCAAAATTTGCCGCTACACAAAGCCAAAATAACACAACAAAGAATTACACAAACTCAGTATCCATGTACACATCAACCTATTTTCATTTTAAAAAAAAATGCCATTGCGCACTCGCTTGACTTTATCCATGTACACGTCGACCTACTTTCACTTAAAAAAAAATTAAAGAATTGCACAAACTTGCATTGTGCACTTCCTTCACTTTGTCCATGTACACATCAATATATTTTCACTTAAAAAAGTCAAAGGAGCACCCAATTCTACAATACAGGCAAACAAAAAATACATAATCTCAACAAACTACATTTTAAACCAAACAATAAAATACCATAAAAAAGGAAACATGTTATACATTTAAGCACTACAAAAAGCAAATATCCACTTACCCTATTTATTATAAGTTCCTTTGTCTTTATTCTGTGGCACACAAAATTCCTTAAAAGCATCCAAAAACTTCCTAAACTTATCTGAACTATAATCCGTATATCGGCGTCACCACATCTGAACCTTTCTTCCTACAAAACAATTCAAATCCATCTAAACGGTTTTTTACGTTCGGCTAGACGCATATCCTTCCTACATACAGGACACTTAAAATGGCTACTAAATAAACCTTTATTTACACACCAGTAAATTAACGCTCTTTTTCTCTTTCATTCCAAATTGTACAGAAACTTCAAATTAATCTTACTACATTCAGTCATTCTACCGTCTAAACAATTAAAACCAACACACCACAAAAGCACTTAAACATCCCATGATTTAAAATTTCCTAGAATAATGCACCCGATTACGTCACAATAGGGTTTCCATAACATTCAACTACTCAGGCTACCATAAATGAAACAACAAGTTGGTGTTATATGAAACAACAACTTGGTGTTAAATGAAACAACAACTTTGCCATAGTACAAGGGGTACATTAAAGTCTATTCTAACCGCCTATTTTACTTCTTTGCACAAAATAAAAGAAGTAATGTATAAACAAGAATAACTTCGACAATACTACTAGTAAACTTTTGTATTCTGACAAATTTTGAGAGGGAAGTGTCACTGCCATATCCTCAGGACTGCTATAAATAATTGTTACATAATTCAATTATTGTTTATGTCTAATGTTAATGCTGGTTTTACTGATTATAGAAAAAAAATTCTTGAAGCAAGATTTGTCACAATATCATAAATACTTTTCTCTATAAAAGATATTGGTTAGAGTAGACTGAAGGATACCCCTTGTATTATAGCAGTTTCATTTATCGGCAAGTCAAGGAATGCGCAATGCCAAGTTTGTGCAATTCTACGATGTTTTTTTTTAATGAAAATAGGTCAACATGTATATGGAAGTCAATGGAGTGAACAATGCCTAGTTTGTGCAATTCTGTGATGTTTTTTATGATGTTTAAATGAAAATAGGTCAATGTGTACTTGCATACCAAGTTTGTGCAATTCTTTGACTTGTTATTTTGTCTTTGTGTAGCGGCGATTTTTGAAGCTAAAATTGCCAATTCACAAAATAACAAGTCAAAGAATAGTATCTGGACATATGAAAATAAAACATTATGTAACAAAAAGTCATAAGTATTATTTTAGAAACAAATAACAGAACATTTCAAAGAGAAAATTCTCACTGTACATTTACTAACAATTAAAAAATATTTTTAATTCATTCATTTAAATGTTACGTATGATCTTTTTCCAATCTCTTAATAACAGAATAATTTTGGAACCGAAATACATCCCTCTTCAGAAATAAACAAATTTTGTATTAGACCTTCTCCCCCCTCCTTTGTTTGGCCAAATGTTACAAACGTCTATGATTATAACAGAAGAAAACACAAATAACCAGGAGAGAAGCTTTAAGACCCAAATTATTGAAAGACAACTTAAACTTTAAAAAATATACAACCGACTTTCAATTAATTTTTCTCACATTTCATAATTTTTAAATATATTTGAGTAATATAGCAACAAAATTGCAATATAAGAATTCTAAATTAATTATGTAGGTACACAATGAAGAGTAGGAATTTAATTTACGATTCGACAAAAATTTCTATGTTTATTTCACATTAGGGTAAAGAAACCATTGCCAAATCAGAAACTCATCAACCAGTGACCGTCTACTGAATATCGAAGATTAATCAATATTAGTTACATAAATATACGCAATGTGTTCGTAAATACACAGATCTGCCACTTTTTCTCAATTTCAGTTATCAAATTTAACATGTATATTTAGACAAATATGTTTAACATACACAAAAGATAAAATCCATTACACATCATAAAAATATAAGTGAAACATTATTACATTAAATCAACATGTATGCAATATGATTTGACATTATGAGGTTTAATAAAAATGACTATGAAGGTAGCACAGCACTTCAATACCATCACTCCTGTTATAACGGTAATTTCAATACACTAGTTCGAAACAAATTTATGAACTGACACTGTCTTACACGTTAAGTCAAAAGTAAAGTCAACACAGTTTCAATTATATATAATTTATAATAAATATTTAAGTAGTACATATTTAATATTTAGCATGAATGGTTAGATTTAGGTGAATGGTTCAAAGGATGAAGAACTAAAAAACAATATACTTTACATATTCTTAACAACGAACTACCGAATTTCTTTAAATATATCATCAAATAAAATTTATTTTCGATGATAATACAACTTACGTTTTGAAAAACAAAACACAAAATTAATTCGATTGACTCCTCTCATAGGTTTATAATTAGAGACACGTAATAATTTTAAAAAAAAGTACTACAGTTTAAAATACCATATCAATTATTCTCAGCTATATTATTTGTTGCCTATTTTACAAAAGGTAAACATATTTACTTATAAAAAAAAAATACGGCTAAGTTTTATGATCTTTCTCTGTAACATGTAGTGTATTTATTAGGTGACATGCAAACTGCCAAACTTCTTATTCATAACAGCATTTATTTACCTTGGCTACGAGAAATACTGTGTCGGTGGCTGTGATTGTGATCCGCCATTGTTTATTCACAAAACTATAGTTTCTAAACGCATCAAACACAGTAAAGAATTTTAGGAGCAATTTTTGGCTTATTTATCCTACATATAGAGAGTTTATAACAGAGTACAAAACCGCTGACAGGTTCAGTTAGCAAACGGCACCCAGCACATCTACATCACTCACTTGATACACAAATCTCATTTTGTTTGTGTCGATCATACTCTCGAAAAGATTTACGGAAAAGTAAAAGCGAAACTAGAGGCTTTGCGATAGCTATTAACATAAATGTTTCGAAATTGTTTTTTCGGCTGAGATTAATTAGAAAAAAAAACTCTATTTCTGAAGAATATAAACAACAAAAATTAAAAAGATGAAAAGAAAAAATTAAAACTGAAAGGGTTCAAATTTTAATGATTGCCTAAGAGGCATCTTTTAAAGTTTGAATATCTACCTACATAATTAACCTTATTGATCAACAGATATGGCATAGGTGAAATAGTTACAGCTGGTCCAGCTGATAGAGGCGCTGCGATCAACGAGGCAAGCGGCTGCTCGTTCACAGCGCTCCGTAAAAAAAAGTGAAAAAAATTCCTTTCCCCTTGGTGATTATCAATTAAATTACTTTGAAATAGTGTTTTTTCTACAAAACCTATATGTTTCCAAAGTATTTCCGCTCCGATGTTGACGAGAGTAAAACAGCGGACAATGTGAGGACGAAAGCCTGGAATTTTAAGATAAATACTTTTCTTTCATCTAAACTAAGGGGTCTAGTCTGGACACCGGTCGAGATCGATATCGGCAAACCAGTTGGGATTCCCTTTCCACTCGGCAGCAGAAGGAAGAGCGAGTCTGGCCCCTTTCAAATCCGTCGGCGGAAAGTGAAGTGGAAATTCCGTGCGGAAGTGACGTTTATTGCATAGCAACCAGTCTATCTCACCTCTACATTGCTCCAGGCTCAGGGAAAGGGGTAGTTTGTTGTCAAAGGGGCTGTTTCGCACGTGCTTATTACTGAGGATGGCGGTAGAAAAAAAAATCGAGTTCGAGTAAATGGTAAAATTTTTCGAAAAAATACGCTGCTAAATTTAGTAAAGAGTATGGAAAAAAGAAATGGGGAACGTTAATGGATATTTTAAACGAAGAAAGAAATGGCCTTTTTCAAAACTTCAGGTATGTGAAGAAATGTAAACATAATTTTACGTATGATCTTTTGCAAAAATGGAAATTTTCTAAAAAGGTTACATGTTTGTGAACTATTTGTTAAGAGGAATTTTATGATTAAAATACATTATTTTGTCTGAAAAGGTTATGCAACAACGTCATAAGTCAAATAATTGAAATATAGCACCACGTACGCGTGTTTAATATTCCTAATGAATTTGAATAAAAAAAAATTTAATTTTTAGCAACCCATGATTATATCAATAATTTTATTTATTCAGGAATTATACCTATCACGTAGCTACAAATATACTATGTATCGTAGATACCAATAAGCAGTGAGTAAAAATATAACAAACGTTTAACAAAAGTAATAGGAAGAAAATAAAAAATAAATAACTATAGGTTTTAAATCATAAAACACTATTATCTTGCACCACACACCATATATATATATTAACAATGCAGTGAAAGGAAATTGCAATACATATTCCTATTATACCCTTTTTAAATCGATCCCACCAGTGACCGTGTGGTAAAATTGCTGAACACTGGTAGTTCGGTCCGAGGTCCAAATACTGCGAATCGGTTTGTTGCATTACCAATATATCTCTGATAGCCAATATATCTGTCATTACCAACATATTTCTCGTAATTTCAAAAGATAAAAAATTAAGGCATTCAAACCTCTTTAAATAATAATATATTGTGTATACAAATGTATTATAAATATTATTATATTGCAGGGAAAGGAAATTGCAGTACATATTCCTATTTATGCCCTTTTTAAGTCAATCCCACTAGTGGCCGAGAGGTAAAATCTCCAAAAGCTGGTAGTGCGGTCCGAGGTTCGAAACCCGCGAACGGGCTGGACGCATGGGCGTCATTACCAAGACCATTTACCATAAACTGTATAAATATATTAACAGATGCAGTCAAAGAAATTGCAGTACATATATATTTATACCATTTTTAAATCGATCCCACCAGCGGCCGGTAAAATTGCTGAACACAAGAAGTTCGTCCAAGATTGGAATCCCGCGAATGGGCTGGTTGCATGGACGTTTTCGTGGTTTCCCCATGTGTACGTGTAACGAGCTAGTTTCCTTAGAATGTCCCACGAAGGCACCCTCACTTTAGGCAATAGCCTCGAGGTTTGCCGTAATTACAAAACTAAAAGCCTTAGCAATTATTCAGATCTAAAAAAGGGTTAAGACTTTTAGATCGAATAAATATACACAAAACTGATGTAATATCAAAAGTAAACCACATTAAAAAAATCTGATAACTACTTATAAATCTTGCATTATATATTGACCAGAATTTAAGAAAATTATACCGGAATTTAACATGTTTTATACAAAATTCTGAACTTTGGAAATTGACATTTATATCGGTACAGTTAAACTACTAAATAATTTTTTACCTCGAGCAATTTAATGTAAATTTGATTTAGGATGTGCATATTTGAATTGTATACTGCATTCTTTAATGCACGCTAATATTACATTTTTTACACCAAATTATAAAAGTAGAGGGAAATACATTATCTTTAAAATAAAATTTATAAATTTATAAATTACTCATCAAAATATAAAATTAAATACATTGATATATGCATTAGTTTAAAAATTACAATTTTAAATAAAAGTCACCCCTTCTTTATATGTGAAATAGGAACACAAATATTATTTCACTAAATTTAATTAAGGCAGATTGGAATAAATAATGTAGAATCGTCACATCAAATGCGTTATTTCTATAGCGAAATACTCGATTTTTCACAAACCTTAAGAATTAAAATATCTTACGTACACTTTCAAAAATAATCCGGCCTCCGCCGTCCTCGTTAGCTCTAAAACGACAATCAGAAACTTAACGGCAGCTGACCATCTACGGACAAATTTCCGACTTCGACCTCTGTAAGGTGGACGATGACACAGACTCCTCTTTGTCGAGTAGATCGCAAAAGCGACCCGTTCTTCTATCTCGACGTGTCAGAAGGCCCTAATCATTTCTATAAATAAGTGCTTTAAATCATAATTTTAATTTCATCAGTTTTAGCATTAAAAATACTGGAAATTGCTCACTGCTGGCCTTTTGAATCAATTCCAAACACGTCAACGTTATCATTTACAAAGCAGCCTTATCTTGTTTGATCTCGTGAGAGGAATTGTGGGACTCAGAGATCCGCATTGTCCCTCTCGGATCTTCTGGATTCTCTTTTTTAGATCGCTTTAATATATTTTCGCCTTTAAATAATATTATACCTCACCGATTTTCTCATACTCTTCCTTGCTATCTGTTAAGTGTCCCTATGTAAGGGATGGTTTATTCTTCAATGCCTTAAATAAAAAGCTTATATAAATAACAGTGTGCCTCATTGTGTTATACTAGCATTAATTAACTAGTAATAAATTATGATAATCTTGTAATAAATTATGATAGTTAAATTATTAAATACTATGTTTAATTTGTGTTTTTAATACACACACACACACACATTATATATATATATATATCTTTTTTTTTTGTGTGTGTGTGTGCGGTTGTCGTCTTGTATTGTATATGGTTCTATGTTGTTTGTCTGCTGCTGTTTTTTGAAAAATGTATGGAAATGTTGGGAACGAAAATGGAATAAGTTACTTTAGTTAAATTAATATCTACTTTTGTTTGATGACTTTTGTTGATATCTCAGGATGCAAGCATACATATTACTTTGTATTCTATGCTAAATACCTTGATACGAAGCATTTTAACACTGTCAATATTTTTTTTTTTTTTCCCAGTAACCATTACCAAACACACTCACTGTTCACCATTACCAAACACACACCTGTGAGACACTATTTATTGTAAATGAAGGCAGCTTCTTCTCCTTTTAACTGCACTCATGGAAACAATCGTATTTTAGGATATTTTCTACTTCTTTTCTTTTTCTTTCTATAGGCTCTTTTTTTCCCTCTTTATTTTTGAGCAATTTATTTTAAATTTTATTTTGTCCCATCTTTAGTTCCTGGCCTTTCGAACTCGTACAAAATTTACGAAGTTCCTTTTTAGTCTCCTCAAATACGAAATTGTCCCTCTTTCCTTCGCATCTATGCTTGATTTTTCGCCCATCGAGCAGAAAGATCAGCGGTCCAAAATAAGATATCTGTCTCCTTCAGAAGGTTAAAGAAGGAGGGAAGGTTCAACTCAAACGGTGAAGCTTGGCGGCATCTTCCGTTATCACGTACTGTGCAAGGAATTCTGTCATTGCAATATGTTTTTCTTTTCTTTTTGAAGAATGTCAGCTTGTCTTGCATATGGATTCACAAATAGTCTCGAAAAAAATTCCGGGCATTATTTTTCTTTTTTTATGTAATATGAAACAACTATGGTCAAAAAATATCAAATGTCATGGGTTTTCTTTCCAATGGAAAAAAAGGACTTAAAATAGGTTATTTAATAACTATATCAAATATATTAAATACATTTTAATGTTTCTGTTTATAGCTGTATCTTCGTTCTTAGATACAATGCTATATGGTAGGATTTAAATGTAATTTGAACGTTTTAGTTACTTCGTTTTATAACTATCATGAAAAGTAAGAATCAATTGTACTATTTATTAATTGTAGTGTTAAATAAAGCAATGTTTCTTATATCTTAATTTTTATTCATTTTTTATGTTAAGATACTGTTCTGTTGTTAAAATGTTTGCATAAACTTACAAATTTCTGGGCAGTATAGTGATAAAATTAAGTAAAATATTTACACCATTGAACATGTGGAAAGATGTATCCAAAAACTTATATAGGTTTTCTCTATTCAACTTAATTAAAGGCGGTTTCTTTCGATTAATAAATATGAAATGCATAAACTGAATCATGATTCACATAAATCTGTTTTATTTTAATTATTTATTTTCTAACCTAAGCAAATCCGTGAATATTCAGAAACATCATTTTAAAGGCTTTCATGTTATGCGCATGCATTTAGATTTCGAACTATTTCTTAAT